GAAGCAAAGCCCAAACCACACCCACTGCCATGGAGTCCATTCTGACCCACAGCGCCCCTAGAGGACAGAGTGCAACTGCCCACAGGTATCCAAGGCTGTCAGTCTTCACAGAAGCACTGCCACATCTTTCTCCCCTAGAGCAGATGGTGGGTTCAAATCACCAACCTTTCAGTTAGTAGCCAAGTGCTTTAACACTGTGCCACCAGAACACTTTGGCATCACAGAGGAGAAGGCGTTAATGTGGCTACCATAAGATACAACTATCAGTCTACTTGTCTGGAGCAAAAGAGGAAATCAAAGACTCAAAGAAGCAACCAGTCTATGGGACTAACAACCCACATGAACCACAGCCTCATTTATCCCAAGACCAGAAGAACTAGACGGTGCCCGGCCACCACTGCCAACCATTGTATCACAACAGATGGACCCTGAGAGAATGAGAGAGGAATGTGGCCCTGAACCTCCAGTTCCTGAAAAGAGAGACCTACTGGACTGGTTGAGACCAGAGGACTTCCCGAGACAACTGCCCTAAGATACTCTAAACTTTGAACTGAAACTAGCCCCCGAGATCCCCTTGTAGCTTAATAACAGACAGGCTCAGAAAACAAAGAACGCCACCCGTGGGCACTGCGCTCCTGTAAAAAAATCACCTCCATGAGAGCAAATGGTCACCAGTGACTTCAAACAAAGATGGCGTTATCAGGGGACAGGGAAAGTAGATGAAAGGAAACGGAACCACCGGAGCAGAAATAACGAGACTGCTCACGTATCGTGAAGACTGTGACCCGCGTCACTGATCAACCTGTGTAGACATTGTTGACTGGAACTCACACTGCGGGGTCAACATCCACTGAGTGAACAGAAAGATATTATTTAAAAAAAAAAAAAGAAAGGCTGCCTGGAGTGACAGCCTGAGCTCAAACCCTGCCCTGACACTTTCCAGCCATGTGCCCCACAGCCCCAGCTCGGCGCCTCAGTTTCCCTATCTGTATAATGGAGATGAGAATACTAGTAACAACCTTGTAGGTGATGTAGGGGAACCCCGAGGTGGCACCAATTGGTAAGAGCTCGAGGACCAGCTGAAAGGTTGGTGGTTCAAACACACCCAGAGGTGCACTAAGGACAGGCCTGGTGACCTGCCGCTGAATGATGACAGCCTTGAACCCACGGAGCAGTGCCACTCCGCACACGTGGGGCTGCCCTGAGGCAGCAAGCAATGACAGTGACAGGGCGACACAGGCCGAGTTGGGAGCGTGCTCGGCGCCCAACGCATCACAGTGGCCACTGCTGCGTTAGGTACAAAAAGCCCAACACAGAACACGCCCCGACGTCCAGAAAGCCACCCAGGATGTATGCCACAGACTGGACGTGGTGATTTTAGGAAAGGTCAGTGGCGACATGGGCCGCCAACAGCCCTGGAGGTCATCTCGAGGGACGCTGTCAGTCTTACATACGTGGTCAGAAAAGTTAACGAGGATAAGATTTTTCTAAAAGAAAAGACACTTCTGTGTTCAGTCACTTCCTGGGTGTGTGTTCCTGGCCAAAGACCTTCACTTCTCTGCCTGTGTCCTTACCCGCTAACTGGGAATTTAGACACCCGCCTTATAGGCTGGGGGGCGTGATCGAGATGAGACGTGCAGCACCCAGCAGTCCCCAGAGTGGGGTGGCGACAGCTCCTGCACGGTGGACACGTTAGGACATTCCTCTCCTCCATTCAGACCAGGGCCGAGGGGGCCGCAGTGACCATCCTGTGATTCCCAGGGCACAGACCGAGACCACGAGCAGGCGTGGGGCCTCACGTCCCAGGTGGCTGAGCATGGGTGCTCAGGAGGGCCACAGCACGAGGCGGCCGCTCGCAGGAGACGAGGGACACCTGCTGATACGACGGCCTACAGGAGGCCCTCGCTGGGCGAGCACCCCCGCCTCAGCTCCAGGCTCCTGTGTGGCTGGGAGGCTGGAATGGGCCCACGGCGTAGGAAACACCATGCAGACACCAGCACCATGTGGGCTGGAGTCCAGCGGCCTGTCCCAACAGGGAGGCCAGACGCAGTGGGCAGGGGCAGCACTGGGTTGGGTAACTGACCTTCTCGATGTTGAGAGCTTTCATCTGAAGAATCAAGTCTTCCACGGGCCTGCGGGTGATTTCAGGAGGCGGGAACTGCTCAAAGTCACCAAAGACTGCAGATGAGTACAACCTGGGGCACAGAGCAGGGACAATGAGCACAGCCAAGGGCTCCGGCTGCAGCGCTGTGTTCACTGCTGGGGCACGCGCCCCAGCAGAAAGGTGCAAACAACCCACGTGCCAGCCACAGGTGCACGGATAAGCCAACTGCTGTCTATGCCACTGGGAAAACGATCGGACCATGAAAAGAGCAACGCAGTACTGACACACTACAATGTGGATAAACCATGTGGGTATACCCTGAAAGGCATCACGCCAAGCGACAGAACCAGACACGAGACTGCATGTTACATACCAAAACCAAAACAATGCTCCCTGGTGTCAAGTTGATTCTGACTCACAGTGCCCCTAAGAGGCCAGAGTGGAACTGCCCAAACCTGACCCACAGTACCCCTAGAGGACAGAGTGGAACTGCCCCACAGGGTCTCCAAGGCTGTCAATCACATGGAAGCAAAGCCCAAACCACACCCACTGCCTGGAGTCCATTCCGACCCACAGCGCCCCTAGAGGACAGAGTGGAACTGC